AAAAAAAAAAAAAAAAAAAAAAAGATGGCAGGTAGATAGGGACACTGAAGGCCAAGGTTGAATTTAGAATGCATGCAGAGAAGATTCCAAAATGAGACACTGTAATTCATACAGCGCATAAAGGTGCTAATGTACTATCCTTCCATCATACTCGTACCTTCCCCCACATACCCCACCACCCACCCCCACAAAAAAAATATTGGAATGTAAAAAAATTCGAGAACTATGATAAACATTGACATATAATTGGCAACTTCCTCATTGGTTTTCTTTAAAGCAATATTTTAATTAATCCAAGCAACATATTTTATTAAAAATCGAAAAACGTAATACTGGTTGAGGCTTATTTGACTTCCAATTCAAGGTACAATAGAAGTAAACTTATCTCGTTTAGGAACATATAGTACAATATGAATCTAAAAAAACTACATAATAATGCGGTGTAATCATAATCCTCATCATTATACGTCAAGTGTATTCTTCGGCTCATGATCACTTCTGTACTCACAATTCGAAGAATGTATTGTATACGAAACCAAAATTCAAGAAGTCTTATCTTCCCACCGTCTTCATATAAGTATACGAAAGCATCCCCACATATTTTGTTGTTCACAAATAAAAAGATGTTATTTTTGCTCCGATCGATCTCCCTCAATTCTGTGGATGATGGATTAGCCTCTTTATTAACACAATATATTTTCATATCGTGCGAATCGTTTCCAATGAATTGCTAGACACATCTAGAAGAGATACAATATATCCTTCATATCTATGTTTGGACTTGTGAGAGAGAAAAGACAGAAATGGGTATTGAGGTGTGAAAAGAGGGGCAGTTCGGATTGAGAATAAGTGTGAAAGGCACGAGACAATATTGCAGGAGAAACCAACAAAAATAAAATGAGGTGATGAGCCTTATGATAACCCTTATCATCGTCACGTCGTTTTTCCTTCACGTGTTCCCATAACTCCCAGAATTCCACGCTCTCTCTTCTCTTCTCTTCTCTTCTCTTCTTTCTTTCATTTCCCTCCTTTCTTTTCTGAATTCATCCTCTGTTACTCTCTTACTCTGTCAACCTCGTGCGTTCCTCACTTCTGTTCTAGTCTTCTATCTCTTTACCAGATTCAAGAAAAAGAAGCAATAGAGAAGGTGTCTTGACTGTCTTAAGGCAATACAAGATGTGGATGATGGAATGCAATGACAGGGGAGAGTTCAGTAGCATTCAAAGTTCGTTTAATGGTCGAAAATTCCGGCCCCTTGTGCCAAAACCAGTCTCTGCTGCTGCTTCAAGCCCTCGATGTTTAAACCTCATTAATCATGACACTGATCTCGTTCTAAATCACCATCTTTGTAAGTCTTTTTCCACCATGTGCGTGTGTTGAAGACCTCTATTCATTTTTTAGCTTTTAGCCTGTTCGCCCTTGTTATTTTCAAAATATATTTTTCTCTTTTTTATTTCTCAACCACGTATTATTAATGAAATAATATTACATGCAAACTCAATATTTTTCCTACATTTTTAACCCTACATTTTTCAATAAATTACTATTTTAAAATACACTTAGGGCAAAAAATGGGGATCAAGCAAGTTCGGCCTACATTTGAGGAGGCATGTTGAAACTTGAACGGGCCTCTTTGCCTGCTTAAATTTTTATTTGAGATGCTTTACGTGAATCCTTTTATGAGGTTTTGACTACGTATTTCAGCAGCAATGGCTGAGCAAAGTAAGAGGGAGTTCAGTACGCAGCAGGTCGTAGTCAGCTCTCGCTGGAATCCCGCACCGGAACAGCTTCAAACCCTCGAAGCACTGTATCGAAGGGGAACCCGAACTCCGACAGCAGAACAAATTCAGCTCATAACTGCACAGCTTCGGCAATATGGCAAGATTGAAGGGAAGAATGTCTTTTACTGGTTTCAAAATCATAAGTCTAGAGAGAGGCAAAAACGCCGGCGTCAGATTGGATCAATATCCGAAGAACAGCCCCATAATAACAGTGAAAGGAAAGAATCAGGTAATAAACTTGTAATTATCTTAATACAATATTTTGAATGCATCTTTTTCAAATGCAGTAAATTTGTCCATGTTAAAAAATATGCATGAGAAATGAGAGACAGAAAGGCTATGAATTGTTTGATTTAGCTAAAACAGCTGATAAAAATTTAAGTTAAAATTAACAATTAATTTTAAATCACACAATTCATGGGACTCATAACTTATATTATTCTTTTAACCATATATTTCATCAATTCTGATCAACATCTAAAAATAATATGATTTTAAACTAACCAAACAAGGGATATATATGTGATTCTCCTTTGCGATCCCATTTTGTCAGTTAGTATTATAAAGTTGTATTGACGTTTGATTTATGATACATTTTCCCATTATGTAAGTTATATAAAATATTCTGTTTTCTTGAGTTGTAAAGTTTTGTTTTTCTTTTTGTCTACAGAGGCAAATAGGACATTATGTGAAGTTGAAAAGACAAAAAACTGGGCATCTTCTACAAACTCTAGTACCATTGCAGAGGTCCGATTATGTCTTTTTCTCATCATGACGCGTTTTATTATAATGAAATAGATAAAATACAACGTAAGAACATACTTCTAGCCCCCGTTTGGTCCGAATTAAAATCTGATTTTAATTTAAATTAAAGTCAAACAATCAATATTAATCACATTTTTCATGAGCCCCACAATTTTTCAACCACACATTTCAAAAATTTCTATCACAATCTACTAAAAATCTAATTTTAATCCCCACCAAACACCCTCCTAATAAACTGTCTCCCAATAATATACTAGTCAGCTAATAATAAGCACATGATGACATGTTCATGCAAGTACATATTGGTTTTTAAGATTGAAAGAAATAGCCCTTGTTTGGTGGATTAAATTTTTGATAAAAGTTGTGGGTATTATAAAATATGTTGTTAAAATTAATTGTAAAAGGGTCCAAAAGTTGCGTATCTTCTTTGTAGAATAAAGCTATATATACAATATTTGTTGACAATTCATGTATTGTTGATTTAAAAAATATATTTTTAAAATGGATGGTATGGATTTATGCTAATTTATGGTTGTACAAGTAACATGGTTCTTCTGTATATATCTTTATGAAACAATGCTAGGGATCTAGGGTTTGTTGGAAGCTACGCTTATGCATTTTCGTTAGAAAAGGAATATATATATATATATTGAGTCCCATCAATTAGCTTCTTCGATTTCAGCATAGAAGAATTGAGGGACAAGAAAATATCTTTGATTACAATATTCATAATCCTAAAGTTAGAAGGCATTTAAACCTACTTAAACAGCATTCTTCGTGATTAATACTGAACATGCATTTGATTATCGATAAGAAATATGCTTCTACACAACAGGCAGAAAAGGCTGCAGATGGATGGTTACAGATCGAGGAGACAGAATTACAGCAAAGAAGGAACCTCGTAGAAAGGAAAAACAGTCTGCAAATCATGCATTTGTCTTGTTCATCCTCTCACACTAAGCTAATAAACTCTACTCACACAGCAATGGATCCAAACCACTTGAAGCTTCAAGATTTTAACGTCTCAACCCACAAGATCCCATGGAGTGATTCTGTGGTGCACGATCCTTGTAATGCGCAATGTTTCGACAATTGTAGGGAATCTGAAACCCTTCAATTGTTTCCACTTCGAAGCTGTCATGAAAATGAAGGTATTTTCGACAAGGACGTAGAGGTTTCAGCTGCAGCCATAAGTTGTGATTTCAGTGCTCAATACCAGTTTTTTGAATTCCTTCCTTTGAAGAATTAAAAGGGGTGCTTTGAAAAAATTCTATTTCGATGTAACATTTCATCAAGATTCCAATGACAAAAAATTGTATGGAAAAATGTGGCCTTAACTTGCATTTGGACCATATTGGGTAAATCTGAAAAGATCTAGACGTTGAGAGGAGTAGAAAACAAAATGTGCCATCCATGTTAATGTTTTTGTGTGTTTGAGAGAGAGAGAGAGAGAGACAAGAGAGAGAGATCAGAGCATCTTCCGTATAACATGTGATGATGTGAATTAAATTGCTGTAAATGTGTGAACAAAAATGGAAATGGAGAGAGGAGCATTTCCAACCAGAATGTAAAATATACTAATTGCGAGCCTTATAAATAACAGAGAGGATGTAAAGAAAGAGTTGACATAAATTATGATAAAAATGACACATCCTCTAATCAAGATCAAATTATAAAAAATTAAGTAGAGAATGTCGACCACACCGTCCACGGGTGGATAGTGTGCTAGACATCAGTTTTCTTTGTCAATTTTAGAGGGATGCCTCACGTCTATTAATTTTGTAGATATACTGATCATGAAAAGAAATAAAATGAAATTATTGAGTTCTACGTAGACTAATATTTACTATCGATTTTTACCTTTTTGGCTTCAATCTTATTTAAAATAGTAATCAAATATCAATACAAAATTTTGTATCATAACTAAATTGTAGTAAATTAAACTAAGGTAATATACTTAAATAATTTTTCAAAAGATTATAACATTAAATAGTTAGAATTTTTTATTTCCCTAAGGTTATTTTCGTTCATCTAATTTCTATTCATTCAACCTATTTTCATATGCATCAATAATCAATAATCAAATTAATCGTTAAATCTCACTCGAGTAAAACTAACCCTATTCATATACCTGAATTTATGCATCTTTGTGTAAATTAATACACAAATAAATGCTTTAACCTATAGTAATTCTACCTAGATTGCATATACTATAATTATTTCTCAATCTCCTGACTACAAAAAAACATGGTTTTAGGCACAGATCTTTCGTTCCTAAAATCACGATATTCGTCGCTAATAATCTTCACCAACGAAAAAAGACTAACTGAAAATTCGTTGTTAATTTGAGGATGCTTGATAGTGTATTATTTTTACCAACTAAATTTCCGTTGGTAAACATCATTCCATTTACCAACGGAATTTTCGTTGGTAAAAATCTTGTCATTTCCAACAGAAATGCCGTTGGTAAAGGACTTTTATTGCCAACAGTATTTCCGTTGCTAAAAATCTTGTAATTGCCAACGGATATTCCGTTGGTAAAAACATAGTCATAATTGGTAAAATAGATATTACCAACGGAATATCTGTCAATAAAAATATTATATTTTACCAACAAAATATGTGTTGCTGAATTATTTTCTAATTCAGCTTCAATACTAACGAAAAATCCGTTGGTGAATCTTAATATATTATTTTGTACTAAAAATCTATACAACCCACTAATTAATAATAATTAATTTAAAAATGCACTAAATAACCAAAATCATCAAAAAAACATTAAATCTTTAATAAATTATAAATTATTACACCAAAATTTTAAATTCCAAATATCTTATCTTACACATCATCATTTCGTGATCATGAGCTAGAAGGAAATGGAAATTAAGAATATTTAGTTCCCTAAGCATGCTTCGCAGTGTTTCTCGCATCTCGAACTTATGATTTTTTTCAACTCGTTCAAGATGTATAGTGAGATCATCAATTATTTCGTTGTTCTCATCTATTGTATTTCGTGCAATAGCTAGCTTTGACTACAAATTATTCACCTCTTCATCACGTGGAAGTATTGAACTTCTGGGTGAATTAGGTTTACCAAGAACATGTAAAGCAGGTTGTATATGACAAAATCCATAAACACGACCCTTAGATGGACCGTTGACAACATCAATCCATGAATTGGGATCGAACTCAGGATGATCATCTCTAATGGTACCATACTTGGACTCGATTGAAGCCTTATAAGTATCCCATGAAAATAAAAAATAATTCTTACAAACTATATGAATAAACTATGAAGTACATAAACTCTAATTGTACTTACATGAACTCGCTTAGATTTTTTGTCTACAAAATCACCAAGTCATATTCTTCCTCTGAATACGATTGAAAAACTCTAATTGGGACATTGGATGATCCATATCTTTCTCTTGAAATACGCAACTCATTAATCTCAAACAAATAAAAATATACATGAACTTTAAAATACAAAATAAAAATAATATGAAAAAAAAAAATACCAATCTCTTCTTAGTAATCACAAAGGAGACTGAACCAGCAGTATGCTTTTTCATTTCACCATCATATCCTTGTGCAAGACGATTTTCCTTGGCAATCTTCGCATTTTTTTCCATTTCTCGATATTCCAATAATTTACAAGATTGTCCAATGCTCTGCCCTTATCCGACGCAAACAATGTCCTCTCCAGTCAACATGATTATCAGCCTGACTTGTACATTTTGCTTTCTCGTGAGCATCATTCATTATATCTTTATATCTATCATTTGACGTGATCTTCCTTGTGTCATACACATTGATAGTAGTCGCAGTTGGCCATAAATATTTATCCTCATATATAAATAAAAAATCAATTTATAGACCTAATGAATATAAGAAATTTACAAATATAATAAATATAATTACCATAAATCGATCCCATAAACCATCTATGGTCCATCAAAACATGTTTTCATGGTTGCGGTGATTCACGTGGTACGAAAGTTTCACCAAAACTGTATAAAAAATATAAAAAACACGATTAGAGAAAATTCGTTAAGTTACATAACCATATAAGAAACACGACATCATTAAACACAAATCTAATAAATGTTATCATCTTTAACCACAAGTTGCTATATTCTAAATCAAAGAAAAAATAAAAATACAATTTATAAAAGGAATATGGCAATATAAAGCACATTGATTGGTCAAACAATCAAAATAAGATATGACGAGAACATGAAAAATGAGCCAATCTTCTAATATTAGCAATTCTAATGAAAAACATTGCGAGTGTGAGATATGACAGTTGTGATTTGAGATCAAAATATCTCACCATGTGTGTATATATATTGGTTGTTAAAACAAACAAACAAACATTAAATATATCATTATTTTTCACCATCACATAATAATTAGTTTCACTTCTTTAACATTTAGCAAAGTTCTCCTCCAACAAATAGAAATCTCCACTATGTTTACACAAACACCAGTGCACAATATGAAACATAATAAATATTACAAAACGCCAAGAAGTATGTTTCTAAATATATAAAATCAATTGAAAATGAATGTATACTTACATGTTATTTTTAATAGTTATTTCGATACGTTGTGATCGATCAACAGGCATAGGAGTACCACGATTAGGACCCCTGGTCCTGTTACTAGCTCTAGGCAAACCATTTGCATGCTCACCTCCTAACTCATCATTGAGAGTATTAGAATCCTGATGTTCATTATTGCTCCGTATAAATCTTCTACCACCACTACATGTTGATTTACGCCGCCTTGCTCGGCTAGATGTATTTCCTCCTCTAGTTAGCGACATCCTGCATGCCAAATAAATTGATTTTAAAATTATCGAAGCTTGTGCTTACATTTGTATGTGATCACTAATTTAGTTTTGTATATCCATATAACAATGTCCTGGACCAATTAGGTTCTTGTTATAAAATATGAATGTAGTCAACTACAAGTATGAAGAGAAGCAATTTGTAGCTGAGGAAATCTCATCCATAGTTTTAATTAAGCTGTAAGAAATTGTATAGGTAAGAATGCTTCCCCGTCATTGTTCCTTGTTGGTTAAAAATATTTCCTTCAATAAGTCCAGTTTCCTCTTTATATATTACCAAGGGACATTAAGTATATTTGAAAGATGGATAATTAAATATACCTGTCACCCTTGAGCCTCTTAGATCCAGACATATCTTCTTGATAAAGTTCATCATTCGTGTGTGTTCATCTTTGACCTCTCGATTGGAAATATTAGCATCATAATTACCATATCCATCACGTGCAGATCCCCCGTCACCATGTTGTATAGATATGTACTAAATTGCTTGACTAGTTTGTTCTCCATTAGTTGGTGACATAGTGCTTGCGAAACCAATTCAAAACAACAATGGTTAAATTTGTGGCTAAGCGGTTAATTTCTTTTAATGGTTATTGTTAGCTCTTTTTGTCTTTTAAGAATATGTAGATGAATCTTGTATCTGAAAATAATTTTAAACATATAGGGTGCAGCCCATTTCACAATGCATAATAAATGTAGATTTAAAATTACTTGTGACCCCTAGCCCAATTATTAGATCTAGATAGCATGTCTTCTTGATACAATGGTTCATCTATATCCTCATCTTCCATATCATCATTGGAAATAATAGCCTCACGATATCGATAACCACCGCGTGTAGATCTCCTACCACTATCCCTTGTTGATCTCTCATAACTTGATTGACTAGATTTATAGCCTCTTCTCGTCTGTGTCATCTTGCTTGCAGAACCAATTCACGATAACAATAAACAAAATATGAAGGAACATGAATTAAATAGTACTAAATGAATTAATTATTTTCCTGAAGTGAAGAGAACATAACAAACACAAAAATAATGGTAGATATAAGCGTACATGTTCATCATTGTCATTTTTACTTGGATTCGATGTAGAGCTATTAGTGTCATCGTCTACCTCGTGTCTATCATCTTGTTCACGTGAACTTTCTTCTATATTAAGCATGTGATAGTTCATAATGTTACTAGGCTCCTCTACTTCTACTTCTTCAGGAAAAACATTATCTCGAACTAGATTTTCATGATCTGACTCCGAAGCTATTGAAAGTGGTTGTATATTAGGTGAGTGATCTTCTTGGAATGGAAGTTCAATCAATGTATTATAATCATCATTTTCTGATATAATTCCTTGAGTATCAATCACATGTCGGGCTTTTGTTTTCACAACTGCCCACTAGTCACGTCTATCTCTAGAATTTGAAGGAAACTTCGTGTATTATACTTGTTGAGCTTGTTGGACAAGTATGAAAACGTTAGTTCTCACTACTATTTTCTTATAATTAATCTCAACAAGGTTAAATTATGGATGCACACGTACCCCATTCTCACTGTCAAACCAATTGCATTTAAATAAGACAACCATATTTTGAGGTCCAAAATATTCAATTTCCCAAACTTCAACATGCCATAGCAGTCGTGGTCATAGTCATTATAACAAATTTCGAGAACGCACACACCACTATTCATAGTCATTCTATTCAAGCCGTATTCCAAATTATGAAATTTGAAACCATTTACAAAATATCCATTATAACAGTTCACTTTACGAGAAGTACCCAAAGCGATGTTCTTTACTTCAGAGTCCACCGTGTTCCTATCATCCAAAACTTGAGAAAAAGAAATGTGCTTATTAATAGCTTATGTAGGTTATATGTACAAAGCGGTTGTCACATAATTGATCAAGTTGTGCATCAGACAGTTGAGGATAATCCATTCTCATATGTTCATCAAACTTCCTATAAATAAGATTATGATGTAAAAGTTAAGCTAACAAATTGTAATTCGGGAAAATATATAATGATTATTACTATAGCCTACCTAACAAAAGGAATAATTTCTTCACAGTTTAGCTTAGACCAAACTTTGTAAAAATTGATAGTCTTCTGTGCAGATTAACAGACCCTCCATCATCATTCTTCGGTGGACAATTTAATCGTGTTTCAACATTTGAGTTAAAGTATAACCTACAAAAATGAGATGTTTCTTCTAGAAGGTAAGCTTATACTATAGATGCCTCAAAATGATTTTGATTTTTTATCTTCTTTTTTAGGTGAAATATGTACCTGAAATGTATGAAATGTACAGTTGATTTTAATAAAAATTGATGAAATGTACAGTTGAAAATAAATTTAAGGAAGAAAACGAGTTTTAGAAAATGGAAGCCAAATAAGGACTACTTGTGCTTAGTCTATGATCGATGGCCATTATTTGACCAAAATAATATTTTGAATAATAATTTTGAAGAGATTGTGTATTTAAAAAGTAAGAAAAAATTTTGGATTTATGTACAGAATATTTTATTATGTAAATGTGTGATTGTAGAAAAAAGAGTTTTATATAATGATTGTCAAACACGGGCAAATTATGTGCTTGTTTGGTATTACTTTTAATTGCTTATAAGCATGAGCCTTTATTTTATAAAATGTTAATAAAAAATATATTTGATCAGTGAAAATATGGGGTTTAACAAATAAGATACGGACACTGAAGGCCAAGGTTGAATTTAGAATGCATGCAGAGAAGATTCCAAAACGAGACACTATAATTCATACAGCGCATAAAGGTACTAATGTTCTCTTCCTGCATCATACTCGTACCTTCCCCCCAAAAAATACTGGAATGGAAAAAAAATTCGAGAACGAGAATAAACATTGACAACTCTTCGTCATTGGTTTTCTTTAAAGCAATATTTTAATTAATCTAAGCAACATATTTTATTAAAAACGAAAAATATAATATAGGTTAAGACTTACTTGACTCCCCGTTCAAGATATAACATGTATAGTACAATATAAAATCTAAAAAATTAGTGCCATAATCATTTCATACGCCGAGCGTAGTCTTTGGCTTATGATTACTGTAAGGCCCAGACCACACACGATATGAGAATCAAGATGTAAAAATAACCAAAACGAATTGAACATGAACTGCAAAAAGTAAAATGAACACAAGAATTATTTCGGCCGTAGTCCCGTAGGTTCGGTGAGCGATTCTCACACCTACATCTCCCGTTGAGCATCCAAAAAAAGGATAATGCTCAATTGCACTATAACAACCACAAAATGGTAACGAATATTGCAAATGTTAGAGAGTAGAGATATAAGGCTTATCTCTCAAGGTACAATAATAGATCTATCCGGATTCACCAAGAAATCACCAAGTAACCCTTTGAAACAAACACTGAGTAACACAACAGAGAAACCACTCAGATCCTCACATTATTCACACAGAATATTACAACGGCCATGAGTGAACCACGTGTCAATCATGAGATCAAGGACGCTTCAAATAAAAGAAGTGTGTTATGTGAACACATTTATAGCCAAAAAAGCTGGGAGCAACCAAGTGAACTGGGTTCAAATCCAACAATTACTTTTTTACTCGCTATTTGAAAAATATACTGTATACAAAACCAAAATTCACAGTCTTCATAAAAGCATCCCCACATATTCCGTTGTTCACAAATAGAAAGATGTTACTTTTGCTCCTATCGATCTCCTTCAATTCTGTGGACGATGGATTAGTCTCTTTATTAACACAATATATTTTCATATTGTGCGAATCGTTTCCAATGAATTGTTAGACACGTCTAGAATAGATACAATATATTATTCATATCTATGTTTGGACTTGTGAGAGAGAAAAGACAGAAAAGGGTATTGAGGTGTGAAAGGAGGAGGGGCAGTTCGGATTGAGAATGAGTGTGAAAGGCACGAGACAATATTGCAGGAGAAACCAACAAAAATAAAATAAGGTGATGAGCCTTATGATAACACTCATCATCGTGGCGTCGTTTTTCCTTCACGTATTCCCAAAACTCCCAGAATTCCACGCTGTCTCTTCTCGTCTTCTTTCTTTTCTAAATTCATCCTCTTTTACTCTCTCTCTAAATATTTGGGATTGCTGCTCTTCTACCTTGTGATGTAGCTCAGGTGCAGTCAACCTCGTGTGTTCCTCACTTCTGTTCCAGTCTTCTATCTCTTTACCACAATCAAGCAAAAGAAGCAATAGAGAAGGTGTCTTGGCTGTCTTAAGGCAATACAAGATGTGGATGATGGAATGTAATGATAGTGGAGAGTTCAATAGCATTCAAAGTTCGTTTAATGGTCGAAAATTCCGGTCCCTTGTGCCAAAACAAGTCTCTGCTGCTGCTACAAGCCCTCGTTCTTTAACCCTCTTGAATCAAGGCACTGATCTTGTTGTAAATCACCATCTTGGTAAGTCTTTTTCCACCATGTGTGTGTGTTGAAGACCCTCTATGCGTTTTAAGTTTTTCACCCCTGTTTGGTCGCAATTTTTTTTTGAATAAAAATTTTTTTGAATAGTAATTTTTAGAAAAATGTATAGTTAAAAAGTAGGAAAAATTTTTAAATTTACGTATAAAATATTGTGCGAATGTATGGTTGAAAATGAATACGTAGAAATTTTTTTTTTTTAAATAATGATTGTCAAATATGGGCTTAATGCGGCCTACATTTGAGGAGGCATGTTGAAACTTGAACTGGCATCTCTGCCTGCTTAAATTTTTATTTGAGATGCTTTACGAGAATCCTTTTTATGGGGTTTTGACTACGTATTTCAGCAGCAATGACTGAGCAAAGTAAGAGGGAGTTCAGCACGCAGCAGTTCGTAGTGAGCTCTCGCTGGAATCCCGCGCCGGAACAACTTCAAACCCTCGAAGAACTGTATCGAAGGGGAACCCGAACTCCGACAGCAGAACAAATTCAGCTCATAACTGCACAGCTTCGGCAATATGGCAAGATTGAAGGGAAGAATGTCTTTTACTGGTTTCAAAATCATAAGTCCAGAGAGAGGCAAAAACGCCGGCGTCAGATTGAATCAATATCCGAAGAACAGCCCCATAATAACAGTGAAAGGAAAGAATCAGGTTATAAACTTATAATTATCTTAATACATTATTAAATTTTGCCATCTTGAATGCATTTTTGTCAAATGCAGTAAATTTGTGTAAGTTGAAAAATCATGCATGAGAAGAGAGAGACAGTTGTTTGATAGTATGCGAAGTTTGGTTTTGCTAAAATAGTTGAAAACAATTCAAATCAAAATCAACAATTAATCTTACCTACAGAATTCATGACCCAAAACTTATATTAATTTTTCCAACAGCATATTTCATCAATTTTATTAAAATATACTAAAATGTGATTTTTAACTAAATCAAACATGGGCTATATGTGATTCTCCTTTGTGACTCCATCTTGTATTTTAGTATTATTCTGCATAGAAAGTTGTATTGACGTTTGATTTGTAATGCTTTTTTCCATTCAGAATTTTTCTTGAGTTGTAAAGTTTTGTTTTTCTTTTTGTCTACAGGAGCAAATAGGACATTATGTGAAGTTGAAAAGACAAAAAACTGGGCATCTCCTACAGACTCTAGTACCATTGCAGAGGTCCGATTATGCATTTTTTTTTTCATGGATGACAAGTTTTATTAATAATAAAATACAACTTCAGAAGAATGCTCGGTTAATTAGGCTCCTGCAATCTATTAATCAGCTAATAATAAGCACATGATTACATGATCTTGCAAGTATATATTGGCTTTTAAAATTAAAAGCTTGGTTTGTTAGGAAATGAAAAGGGTCCAAAAGCTGCATGTCTTCTTTTGTGTCGACGTGGCTATGAATAATGCTTTCTTGTCGGATGAAATTACCACCTTGGATGACATATGCATTAGTGACCATGATTGATTGATGGAAAAATTAGCATGTGTCATTATGTCAACTAAGATGGTAAGATTTTCTGGCAACGTAGCAAGGTTGGACTGCTATATATTGTTATGAAACAATGGTATGGACCTAGGGTATGTTAGAAGTCGCACATATGCATTTTCTTTGGAAAAGGAATATATATTGCCTTCAACTTAGAGCACAATATTCATAATAAAAAATTTAGAAGGCATTTAAACCTACTTAAAACAGAAATCCTCAAGATTAATATTGAAAATTATCTAGTATACTTGTTCACATGCATTTGATTATCGATAAGAAATCTGCTTCTACACAACAGGCAGAAAAAGCAGCAGTTGCAGAACGTAAATTAGATGGATGGTTACAGTTCGAGGAGACAGAATTGCAGCAAAGGAGGAACCTTGTAGAAAGGAAAAACAGTCTGCAAATCATGAATTTGTCTTGTTCATCCTCTCACACTAAGCTAATAAACTCCACTCTTACAGCAATGGATCCAAACGACCTGAAGCTTCAAGATTTTAACGTCTTAACCCGCAAGATCCCATGGAGTGATTCTGTGGTGCACGAGCCTTGTAACACGCAATGTTTTGACAATTGTAGGGAATCCCAAACCCTTCAATTGTTTCCGCTTAGAAGCTGTCATGAAAATGAAGGTATTTTCGACAAGGACGTAGACGTTTCAACTGCAGCCATAAGTTCTGATTTCAGTTCTCAATACCAATTTTATGAGTTCCTTCCTTTGAAGAATTAAAAGGGGTGCTTTGAAAAAATTCTTTTTTGATGTAACATTTCATCAAGATTCCAACGACAGAAAATTGTATGGAAAAATGTGGCCTTAACTTGCATTTGGACCATATTGGGTAATTCTGAAAAGATCTAGACGTTGAGAGGAGAAGAAAACAAAATGTGTCATCCATGTTAATGTTTTTGTGTGTTTGAGAGAGACGAGAGAGAGATCAGAGCATCTTCCGTGTAACATGTGAATTAAATTGCTGTAAATGACAATGGAGAGAAGAGCGTCTCAAACCAGAATGTAAAATATATTAATTGCTGGCCATTTAAATAAGAGAATGGATGTAAAAAAGAGTTATACATAAATTACAAAAAATTTAAATGACACATCCTCTATTGAAGATAAAATTATCAAAAATTAAGTACGTAGAGGATGTTGATGACATCGTTCAAAAATTATAAAAAATTAAGTAGAGGATGTCGATGACACCGTCCACGCATGGATAGTGCGTTAGACATACTTCACATTTTCCTTTGCCATGTAAGCATTTTGGAGTGATGTGTCATGTCGATTGATTTCGTAGATGTACGGATTATGAAAAGTAACAAAATGAAATTGTTGAGTTCAAGTATTGTTCTGTATAGACTAATATTTACTATTAATTTTTACGCTTCCCGGGCTTCAATCTTATTTAAAATAGTAATCAAATATCAATACAAGATTTGTTTCGTAACTAAAATTGTACTAAACTAGACTTGCGTAATATACTTAATTATATAATTTTGAAAAGATTATAAGATTAAATAGTTAGAATTTTCGATATCATTAAAGTTATTTTCATTCATCTAATTTTAATTCATTTAACCCCTTTTCATATGCGTAAATAATCAAATTAATCGTTAAAGCTAGTGATCTCACTCGATCAAAACTAACCATCCATATACCTGAATTTACTATATCTTTATCTTAATTCATATACAAATAAATGCTTAACCTACAGTAATTCTACCGAGGTTGCATATCCTATAATTATCTCTCGATATTTCATAACAAAAATTTAATTTATTGTACGAGATAATTAATACATCTCTCTATCTTGGTATTATCCATAAATCAATTAATTGATGAAAGTAATTAATCACACACAAGAACTAAATAACATACATTCAAGTAACACGAAGTTTTGAATTTAAAAAAATAATGAAAATCCTAAGCTACACCATCATCCTAACTGAAGGAAAAATGCTGGCACAATGATGCTATGCCCATTGGGCTTATTGAGTTGGCCCAACTGGAAAATCAATGGTGGCCCAGCTAACTTATTAATTCTGTTTGGTTCTTTAGTGCAAAGAAAACGTGTTCTGTGAAGTTGAAATCGTGTTTCTCACTTACTTGATGAAATGAACGCCAATGGAATCACCACGTGTCGCTTCCAATGTCGTTGGATTGTCAACTGTTGTGTGTCCCATTTAAATGGGCTTCTAGGGTTCGAGAGACACAACTGCTACTTTGAAACTACCTTGTGTTGGTTATACTGCCTTGTTTGATTTTCTGTTTGGTTGAGTTTACTCCATTGTTGGGTATTTCTACCTAGGTTGAATATTTTCTGCATGTGTAGATTATCTAAAATTTGAGGGTTACTCGGATCAAGTCAAGATTCTTGATAATCTTGATTTCTGAAAAACATTCTACAATATTATATAAGCTTGATTGAAGTTCTGTATATAATTTTGCTTATTTACAATTGTATTTGTATTGATTTGGTTAAATTGTGTATAGTGTGGTATAATTATGAAGTGCCTATTCTCTGTACTTGCAATCTGTATATTCTGTAGTGTCCCTTGTGTGGTGATACTTGACTAATCTGCATTGCAAGTTATTGGTTTGGTGTTTGATTGATCTGCATACATCCATTTCATTCATATTTTTCAAAAATGACTTCTTCAAAATTTGAAATGAAAATTTTTAATGGCAAATGAGACTTTATTCTTTGGCGCCAGAAAATGAGAGCTCTTTTACTTCAACAAAATTGTGCTAAGGCTATTGATGAGTCATGACCCACTGATCTTGAATCTGGTAAAGTGACTGAACAAGATGAAACTGCATGGAGTACTGTTTTTTTGCATTTGTCTGACAATGTGATTAGAGAAATTGGTGAGACTAAGACTACTGCTGAATTGTGGAAGAAATTGGAGAAAACTTATTTGAATAAAGCTATGCCAAATAAGGTTTATCTCCTAAAATAGTTTTTTGGATTTAAACTTGATCAATCTCTTGACTTTGAGACTAATATTGATAGATTCAACATATTAACCCGCGACCTAGCCGATAGTAACAAGAAACTCTCAAGTGGGCAATTGGCTATGGTCTTATTGAATTCAATTGGTGATAAATATAGAGATGCTAAAAATGCAATTGAATATGGGAGGGATACTCTAACCACTGAAATGATCATTAATACTTTAAGGTCTAAAGAGTTAAAGTTAAAATCTGATAGAAAGAATCTGTTAGTAGCATTAATTTGATGATTAAGTCCAAGTTTAATCCCAAAAATGGTAATTTCAATAAGAAACTCGGACATAAGAAAAAGGGCAACTTTAAGGATAAAAATAAAATGAAGACAAAAGGGAAAAATTGTTTCTGTTGTCTAGAAGAAGGTCATTTTATTAAAAATTGTTCTAAAAGGCCTTATGACTCTAATAATAAGTCTAAAAATGATGGTGGGGCTGTTTTGGTTTATAATGACTTTAATATTGATGAAGTTTATGTGGCTGTTAGCTGTCCACCTTGTCAAGAGTGAATTCTTGACTCCGGTTGCACCTACCATATATTTCCTAATAAGGAATGATTTACTGATTTTGAAAATGTAACTGGTGGTAAGGTTTTAATGGGTAATCACATGACATGTCAAGTAAAAGGTGTGGAAACTATCACTTTGAACTTAAAAGGGAATAATAAGTTGATTGTTGAAAAGATTAGATATGTTCCTGATTTACTAAGAAATCTGATTTCCTTAGGGGTGTTATATGATCTTCACTTTGACATTGTGATCAATAAGGGATACATTAAAATCTTGAGGGACTCTCGACTGATTGTAGAAGTCCCTAAGAGACATGACCTTTACATTTTACAAGCTAAAAAATTTTTGGAGTCCACTTCAACAGTAATTTAGTCCCAAATGATAAATCACAAATATGGCACAAAAGATTGGGCATATTAGTGATAAAGTTCTTTAGATTTTGAAAAAATAGGGTGCTTTGGGTAAAGATAACATTGAAAAATTGAGTTTTTGTAACTTTTGCATTTTAGGAAAGTATAATAGATTACCTTTCCTACCTGGAATGCATAAATCGGTCTCCATACTTGAATATTTGTATGCTGATTTGTGGGGGACTAGCAACTGTATATACTCATTTTAGTTTTAAATATTATTTGCTTGTCATTGATGATTTTTCAAGAAAAATTGAATTTTTTTGTTAAAATCAAAATATGACACATTTAATATTTTTAAAAAATTGAAACTTTTAGTTGAGAAATAAACTAACAAGAAAATTAAAGTTTTAAGAACTGATAATGGTTTAGAATTCTGCAATTATGAGTTTGATGAATTATGCAAATTATCTGGTATGTTAAGCCATAGAACAGTCACACACACACCACAACAAAATGATTTGGCTGAAAGAATTAATAGAATTATTCTTGATAAAGTTAAATGCATGTTGCTGTGTTCTAGCCTGCCTAAAATTTTTTGGGGTGAAGCAGTTAAGATTGTTAGTTATCTAATCAGTAGATACCTTTCTAGTGCTATAGACTTTAAGATCCCTGAGGAAAAATAGAGAGGAAAACATGTTAACTTCAGTAACTTGAGGGTTTTTGGGCCTTTGCACATCAAATTGAAGGTAAATTGGAACCTAAAGCCCTTAAGTGTGTTTTTTTGGGCTATGGAAAAGGAGTTAAAGGCTATAGACTATGATTTAGAGAGCTTAAAGGCTATAAGGTCATTATAAGTAGAAATGTGGTATTTAATGAGGATGACCTGCCCCGTTCTAAGTCTGAACAGCAACCTGAAGACCTTTTAGAGACATCTGATCAATCTAAAAATGTGAAAAAAAAGGGTTGAGTTTGAGGTGGAACAATCTGGGGATGGTTTTGACCAATCTGCCCCTCAAAATGATGAGGAAACTGAAGCTGAAATAAATCTGGTGGGGTTCCTGAGGCTGATTTAGAGTATGAACAGCCTCTAACTGATTACCAACTTGTTAGGGATAGGGAAAGAAGGACCATTAGACCTCCAGCTAGGTTTGAAGATGATGTTTCCTTGCGTCCTATCATGATATGATTGAAGATGAACTTGAATCCTATGATGAGGCTTTGAGTAGGAAAGATTCCAAACAATGGCATGCAGTCATGCAAGATGAAATGAAATCGCTCAACAAAAATAAGACATGAATTTTGGTAAAAAGACCGGAGGGTAAGAGGATTGTGGCTTGTGAATGGATTTTTAAAATAAAAAGGGGTGAACAAAAGGAGAATGACATAAGATACAAAGCTCGTTTGGTAGCAAAATATTTTACTCAAAAAGAAGGAGTTGATTTCAATGAAATTTTTTCACGTGTAGTAAAATTTACTATAGTTAGAGTCATTCTTGCTTTGGCCACTCAATTTAATTAGGAATTGGACCAATTAGATGTAAAATGCTTTTTCTAAATGGGGATTTAGAAGAAACCATTTACATGAAACATCCTAGAGGATTTGAATTGAATAAGAAAGCTGACTTAGTATGCCTTCTTAAGAAATCTCTATATGACTTTAAACAAGCTCCAAGTCAATGGCATAAAAAATTTGACAATTTTTTGCTTGGACTTGGGTTTAGGAGAAGTCATTTCGATACTTGTCTTTATTGTAAGGGTAAAGGTGGAGCTAATTCACTTTACCTACTCCTTTATGTGGATGACATGATATTAGCAAGATATGACATAAAGGAGATTGAGGAAATTAAAGACAAACTAAAATCTGAA